CCCCGCCCCGTCCCCGGCCCCGGAGCCGTCAATAAAGGGACGGCCTCGCGGGCTGATAGTAGAGCGGCTTGACCGCAAGGACACATTGTATTACACCGCCCCTGGTCGGCCTGGTCGGCCGTAAGTCGCTTAGCATTAGGGGCGTCCCCTTACAAAAGCACGAATGCGAGCCGTATGAAAAGCGGGCAAAGCCACGCGGAGCTGCCGGTGCGCTTTTTGTCCGGCCGCGGCGGCGTCCCCTGCTGCGGCGGGGACCTTCGACTGTCTAAGCCCCGCTCCTCTCTCTTTTACAAGCAGCTCCGTCTCCTGTCTGCGTGCGCGCGCCTCCAGCTGCCCGCCAGTCTTCTGGCCGTGCCCTATTGACAGTTTGGCCAGTACAGCCAGCCCAGGCCCGGTCCACGCTATCGGACGGCCGGTGGCAGGCGCTGGGGTAGGCAGACCCGCACGACACGGATGTGCCGCGGGACTGCCCGGCCGTGCCGCTACGGCGCTCCGGCCGCTGCTGCTGGCCTCCCAGAAACACTCCGCTCTGAGACGTGAATGTCTCTTGTGACGAGGAGGCCCCCGATAGGAGACGCCGACGATGAGGAGGACGCCGCCGTCGACGAGGAGGACGCCGACGTGACGTGACAGTTCGCCGTCGGCGAGGAAGCAGGGGGGCCTTGACCTTGCTCGAGCCTTGGCACTGCAACGCTGCGCCGTCGCCTCCGCCGTTCTCTGGACGGAAGGTGGTGTCGTCCACGGTGATGCATGGAGTGCGTGTGCGCGCATATGTGTCCGTGTGTGGTCCTGTCGTGTATGTGTGTGTGCCCTCCTTCTCATGACCGCTCATGACGGAGCTCACTGGAGTGAAGTGAGTGAAACGCTCGTTCAGGCGACTGACGTTCACTTGAACACACACACACACACACACTCGCTTCGTGGCGCCGTCTAGCGGCGACCTGCGTGGGCATTATTTTGCCCGGCCACATACACCACGCTCTGCACTACGCCGGGCCACGCCTCAACGCAGTTCAAATCCTCTGGGATGATGGTGATGATGCTCTGCGGGGCGGCAATCGCAATTCGTATACACTACAAGGATTGCGAAAGAAGAGAAAGAGAGCGCGGGGGGCGGAGCGGGGAGAGCAGAGGCCAGCAGGCCGCCATCACTTGGAACAACGAACGGTCCGGTTCTCTACTCGAGTGCGTGCGAGTGTGCGTGTGGCGTGCGTGTGGCCGAATCCCTGTTTGCGCCTTTCAGGCTCGCAGATGATTTTGTCCAGCCAGTCTCCCGCGCGAGTGTGTCCACACCCAGCGCAACCTTTCGCGACACCGCGCCGGCACAGCAAGCCCGGCCCCCTTTTCCTCGTACTTACTCAGACAGATGAGCGCCCCCTGCTGCCTCCCTGCCGGCCGCCGCGCAGGTCGAGTTCATAAACGCTGCCGCGTCTTGTCTAATTTCACTTTGTCTCGGCGTCGGTTTCGTCTCATCACGCCGAGACACCCAGCCTCCTCCTGGTTGCACCGTGTCTTTCCCCCCTCCTCTCCCCATCGGCTGCCGCACCGACCGCCGCCACCCCCGCTCCCCGGAGGAGGCACTTGAGTTGCCTACCGCTCCGGCGCAACCAGCCTCTCGACACGGAGCCGATGTTGCTCCCCTCCGATCCCCTCGAACAGCAGCAGCAGCAGCAGCAGCCCGCCCACTCGGGGGCCGCGGCGAGCGCTGGACTTTAGCATGATTGATGCATGAAAGACAAACGTCGAAAATTCCAGGCGAGCTGATTGGTTTCGTGACTGCACGCCGCTGCACGCCCCCTGCCCTGAACTGGTGCACGCGGGGCTAGGCCGCGCCGGCGGCGGGCGACCGGCCCGACCCCACCACCACCGAGCCGGCCTGGCACGGCGGCCACTACTTCGGCGTCCTTCGGGCGTTCTGACACAAGTGCAATCATCATACCATGCTGTGTGCTGTCAGATTTTCTCTCCCGGCCACAAATAAATTCACGCCTGAGCAAAAGGGTAACAAGGCCAGGCCGCAAAGTGTGGACATATGCATGGCAATTTGTAGTGTTGTAGCTTGACGAATCGTCGCACGAGAAGTATTTGTTGACGGAGGCTGAGCACAGTAAAATCAGTTCTGATTTATTCTTCTCAAGTCGCTCTACACTACAACACTCGAGTGTTCCACGCCGGTGCACTCGTAATGTTGCTGGTACTCTTCTAGCCGGTGCCCGTGAAATATAGTGGGTAAAGGAAAAAAATCAAAGATCCAAACGTATCGTATCGATCAGCAGAATAATTTAATGAGCAGAGTAGACTTAGCGTAAAGGTAGTCTCTTCAAGGTACAAATATACACGTCGTGGGTCGCTTCTCTGAAGCGGAACACGTCGCTTGCTGCTGCATGTCGGAGTTTTACAAGGAGCATCAACGTGATGCACTCGCCTCTAGTACAGCGCGGGGCCGAGAGGACAGGAACACGGCCGCAAGCGTGCTCCCCGCAGGCCCAGGCCACAGGCCCAGCTGCGGGCAGCCAGCCGGTGCAGGCCAGAGAGGGCGCCTGTTAGACCCGCGCTGAATCACTTATGGCAGCGGCAGCGGCAGCGGCAGGACGAGGGACTCGTTGACGTCGCTCGCCCACCGCGCGCGCCAGAGATCCGTCGGTAAGGTAACTTGTATTGGAGGTAACTTGTGATGGAGGTAACTTGTGTGGGTGTCACAGTAGCGCACTTTAGTAGCGGTACCCGCTGTTGCTGTTGCCCTGTGCGTTGCCGTTGGCGCCGCTGTTGTAGTTGTAGCCGGCGTTGACGTTGCCCTGGACGTTGCCGTTGCCGGCGGCGTTGTAGTTGTAGCCGGCGTTGCTGCTGCTGCTGCCGCTGTTGCCGCCACGCAGGAAAGACCCCTGCTGCTGCTGCTCATTCGGTCCCTGGTGCTCGGCGCGGTACTGACCTGCGGAGAAAGAGAGAGAAAAACAGTTTTACGACCCGCACGATTAGGCGTACATCGGCGCGGTTCTCTGGAAAGGTCTCCGGCGGCGCCGGCCGATGGGAGGGTGGCGGTGCGAACACTCGCGGACACCTCGCCGGCGCCCAAGGCCACCGCAGAGTGGTACTGACCGTCGTCCACCAGACCGCGGGCCTCGTCGGCGGCGTTCTGCTCCAGGGCGCGCTGGATCTCGGCGGGGACGGGCGGCGGCGTGGGCAGGTGGTCGCCGTAGGCGAGGAAGCCGTTCTCGTCGGCCGTGTAGGTGACGGTGTAGCGCTGGTTGTTGTCCGGGGCGGTGAAGGCGTAGGCGCCCTGCACGGCGACGAGGCCCTCGGCGCCGTCGGCGCGGACCTGGCCCTGCTCCTGAGCCTGGATGCCGTTCTCGGTCTCGTAGCTGGGGGCGTGGGAAACGCAAAGGAAGCGAGTCGTCAGTCAGGGTCATCTCTCGCCATCGCCCCGGAAGAGACCATCTGTTTGTCGAGATGCCCCACCCCCGTCCGGGCAGCGCTCGGAGAGCGTGACAGAAGTCGCACACCTTCGAAGGAGGCGGATAATTATGCAGACGAGCGATTTGCCGCGTCCCGGAGTAATAATTAACGACTGTTTTCACGGTCCGCGCAAGACAGAAACGGCCCACCTGTGCGCCTTTAGCGTCACGCATCACACAAAACTACAAAACTCAAACCAACTGCAGAAGATTTTCGCGCGCTTCAACTCCAAATCCCGCCTCGCCCCGCCTGCTTGCGCTTGCGCACTCGCCCCTTGGCGACGCCAGCGCCAAACCGGTGGTCGGAAGCGGAAGACCCCCCGTCAGTGCGCAATGCGCTCCCTAACCTCAACCTCGGCCGAGTGGGTCGAGCCGACACGTCGCTGCAGGAGCCAAAAGATGGTTCCCTTTCGAGAAAAGGTAAGGAAGTCTGAATCGAAACCAGCACCCGAAGTTCAATAATTTTGAAAATTGACAGTGAATTCGACGTAAATGACCTGAAGTAATACACTCGTAACGGTCAAGGTTCATTTGTACTTGTTTTGGCCGTTATTTTAGAACTGTTTCCCTCAACAATTTTTTGACCGATTGTCACAAAATTAACTAATATTTAGCTCTGACGACCAATTCATTTTTTCCGTGCTCACCTGAAGGTGTAGGTGCCGTCGCCGGGGTTCTCGTTGACCTGCTTGATGATGAGCGCGGGGCGGGGCGTGGGCTGCTGGAAGCTGCCGCTGTAGCTGTTGACCTGGCCGCCGGCCTGCTGGGCCTGCTGGGCGCCGAAGCGGCCCGCCGAGCCGAAGGAGGACGCCGAGGACGCCGAGTTCGAGCTGAAGGAGCTGCCGGAGTTGGCGTTGAAGGAGCTGCCGGAGTTGAAGGAGCTGCCGGAGTTGAAGGAGCTACCGGAGTTGAAGGCGCTGCCGGAGTTGAAGGAGCCGGAGCTGCCGGCGCGGAGGGCGGAGCTCGAGCCGGAGGCGCTGGGCGGCAGGTAGGTGTTCTGGACGTTCTGGACCGGCCCGCTGAAGGGGGTGGCCAGGTTGGCGCCGCCGGACTGCGCCGCGCCGGGCGGGGGCAGGTACGTGTTCTCCAGGCGGCCCGCGAGGGCGCAGCCCGCCAGCATCATCAGGCACACGAACTGCGGACACACAAGAGAACACAGCCGCGGGTCAAGCATGATGAGGTTCTTGTCGGACCTGTCCCGGGGCGAGCTGACAGCCATTTGTGGGGTCGACTCGGAAACAGGGTGGCCGCTGCCGCCGCTGCCCTGATTCGGGGCTCGGGGTGTCGAACAACTCCCACGCTTTCGGGTCAGAGCCAGATCTGTTCCAGAGCGGCTCATGCGTCTCGCGGCCTTGATCTCGCTCGCCCAATGGCGAAAAGACGACCACTAATCGTAGCGCCGCACGGTCTGCAGCCCTGCAGCCCCTCCCGCACAGCTCCATCTTTCCTGGGGTTATGAAATGGAGCTGGCCGCCGCACCTCGCCACGCCACGCCGCACCTCGCCACGCCACGCCACGCCACGCCACGCCTGAGCCTAAGTGCGGCGCGTTGGCCCTGAGGTTGGGCCCGACTGGACCGGCCCGCCGCGGACCACCTTCTCGCGGCTTTACTGAACCGAACCGATCTCATGGGGTCAATACGGCGTGGCGGGCCGGGCCGGCTGGGGCAGGCGACGTGTGTGAGAGGCCTCTGTCAAGAAGCGATCTCGCCGTGACCGTGCACGTCTACGCACGCTCTGCTAGCTGAACCTGAAGCGGCGTGCGCGCGCGTGCAGACAGTTGTTGTTCGCGCAGGATTGCTCGGATTGCTGCTCACACGAGAAGGGCCGCGCCGCCGCCTCGCCCCGCCTTTGATAGATGCCCGACGACTAATAACGCCGTGAGAGTTCGGGAGGTCGGGTCAAGCAGAACAGAGTGCCCCTGCCCTGCCCCGTGCCCCTCGTGGCGGTGGGCCCACAGTGCCCAACATTAAATCACGCCCAGAGGATTCGAATATCACTTCACTCGAAAATACGTTTCTCACGGCCCGTGTCATACAAAATTCGGAAAACTTCGATTTCGATCGACACCGATCCGCTATGGCCTAAAATAGAGGGCTAAATACAAATTATTAAAAAATAGTAAAATATTGAAGCACTAATTTTATGACCCTTTTTCGTGAAAAAAATAATAATCAAACATTCATTGAAGATTTTGCATAATTTGGAAGTTAGGTGAACATAATCTTTCGGGAGTTAACGTTTTTGTAGATTGTAACGGATTTTTAAAAACATTTTCACTGTTGTTTTTTTTATCAAATTTCTAGCCCCAATTTTGGGTTTAAACGCCCGCGACATTTGGCAGAGCAGAGAGGACGGTCGGGTCAGTCCGAAAAGGTAACGGGGGGCGGTGCTGCTCGTCCCGACGGCCTGCAGGGTCACCTGACGGGCTTTGCGTAATTAACTGGCAGATGGACGAACATCTCGACCACCGGCCGCCCTGCCCCTCGTCTCGTCTCGGCATCAAATATCGCCCCGTCTGACAGCAAATGAGCGCACACTGAGACGTGTCTCTGAGAGCTGCGCTGCGGCCGGCACCGCAGCATCGCGCTGCTGACCCTTGGCCGGCCGACCCGCCAGACCCGCCGATTTAATGGCCCAAAGAGGCGTATCATCATCATTATCATTTTCGAAACGGAAAGCTGTTAATCACCTTCGTGTCAGATTTAGAATAACAGAACAAAACTACATGTGTACACACTAAACCGATATGCATTTTGTTGTGCACAAACTTGCAGAATTTTATACAACCAGAAGTATGCACAAATTTTTATGTATAATTGTGTACAAAATGTGCATAATTATGCACACACTGTACATAGTTATACATAAAATTGTGCAAAATATTATGGCTGTATGAAATTCTGCAAGTTTTATGCACAACAAAGTGCATAAGGATTTAGTGTGGAACAGTTGTTGTTTAAGTCCTTTTCTCAAAACAGGAGTTGAGTAATTTATGAAAGAATGCTTATAGTTAACATTGTACCCTGTCGTAAACACAATGTCGCTAAACGTAGATTTACATGTGACAACGTTTTTACGTTTTAAATGGCGTTTTGCAATCAAATTTCGAACGTAATCCTCTGGCGATGGCTCACTTTTTGCACAACACACACACACACACGCACTCACTTCACTGCCGCACTAAGTTGCTTGCTCGTTGCACTGTTTGCACTACATCTCTAACACCCACGCACACACACATACACTCGGAAGAGGCTTACCGTCCTCATGTTGTCTTTAGTACTGGTAGCTGCTGCTCTCGAGTCCGGAGCACAAGTGACATCCCAAACACATCCCTCCTGCCTTTTATATTCCTGCGTGCGAGCCCCGGGTGGGGTGTGGCGGTGCGGGGCGGACCAGGGGCCCGGAGCGGGGAAGGGAAGGGAAGGGAAGGGAAGGGTCCACTCTTGTTTTTGTTGCCGATCTTGAATGGACCCGGGCGGGGCGTGGCGCTCGTGGTGGGGGCGAGGAGGTGCCATCCTCGTGGCCTTCCCTCCCGGCGGCGCGCTGGACTGGTCCAGTTCCTCCTATACAGCGCTTGGTGGCCCACCTGGGAGGGGAGAGGGGCCCCTGCCCGCCACGCACCGCCCCGGCACCGCCCGCCACGGGCACAAAGCAGCTCAGGCAGCTCGGGGTCCTCATTGGCCGTGTTTAGTCTCATGCGAGCCGCACGCACTGCAGGGGGGCTCTGGCGAGCACTATAGCGAGCGGGCCCACGCTCCCTGCCGGACCCTGCCGGCCACAACGGCGGCGTCACGTCACTTCGCTGCTCAAAGCTATTTGAGAATAAAACCACCACGTGTCGTGTCCGTGGATTACCATCTCTGCTGATTGAGCTGTGCTGCTCGCGGGGGCCGGGGGTCAGACCGGCGGGCGAACCTGGAACCAGACGGCAGCGGCAGAGTGTGTGTGAGAGAGAAGCACTGCGATGTGCACCACTGTCCGGAGATGGTCGCACAGGGTCGCTGTGCTGACCAGCGAGATGTGTTTTTGAAATAATACACGTCGATTAGCGAATGACTTAATTATTTTATCCTCCTCATCTCTCTGCTCTCGCTCTCTCTCTCTCTCTCTCTCTCGCTCTCCTTATTCCCCTTCTC